AAAACTCCCTCGAAAAAATGTGCAAGTCTGCAAAGCAAAGGAACATGTTGAAAAACTTGATCTTGAGAATGTGAAGGTTTTATGTGCTGTTGTGTCCGACAGTAAGTGTAATCAAGTTTGTGATGGGTGGCCTGCAGTAGTGCAACATTGCGCGAATGACCACGACAATAAAAATGTACACATGAAATGCCCTGCTGAAAATATCACTGTAAAAAAAGTGGTCCAGGTTTGTCCAAACCACAAGAGTGGTTGGAGCATCTGTGTACCAAGCACCCGAAGTTTGTGTTGTCAAAGAATTTGATTTTTGCCAGCAATTATCTGTACAGCGAATGTACCCCCTCCAATTCACTTTAACATTCAATTTTTGTACAATAAACGTCAATGGTCTGAAAGACCATAACAAACGAGCAATAGTTTTTCAGTTATGCCGTGAGGCAAAGTATGATGTCGTCTGCCTGCAAGAAACACACATTAGTTGTGCGCGGGAAATATCTGAGTGGGGTAATGAGTGGGGCGGGCCCAATTTTTGGAGCCTGGGCACTAATAGCAGTAGAGGCACAGGAATCCTAATATCTCCTGAATCACCCCTTAGAACACTCCGATGTGATAAATGATACTGATGGTCGTGTAGTGGCGTGCACATTAAAAACAAAACATGGTCGTTCCCTGCGCCTATGTAACATTTATGCCCCAAATGAAGCCGGTGCTAGGGTCCGCTTTTTCTCAGACTTGCATCATGTATCTAGGCTCTGCACGGGTCATTTTAACCTGTGGGGACTTTAATTGTGTTCACGCATCTCTAGACATTTTGGGCAGCCTAGACGCAAACACCACTAGGTTTGTCGGTGGTAATGTTTTGAAAGAACTATGTGTCGATTACGATCTTTTGGACATTTTGCGCAAAGCGAACCCTATGTCGCGTAACTTCACATGGCGTAATACATTAAATACTGTGGGTAATCGTCTTGACAGATGGTATGCGTCATCGTCACTGGTGGCGACGTCGTCAATTGTGCCATCATCCTTTTCTGACCATAGTTTTGTCACTATTAATTTTACCTTTGATGCCAGAATGTATCATGCTCCTGGCCTCCGGGAATTTAATGCGTCACTTTTTCCTGACGCTGATCTATTCAGTGAGCTCACCTCCTGTTTTTCTGGTTGGCTGTCTCTCCGGGAGGGGGTCAGTGATCTCACCGAATGGTGGGAAATGGTGAAAGAAAGAAGGCAAGGCATCATTAAAAAACATGCACGTGCGAAAGCAAAGCGTCGCAAAGCTGAGTTTGATTCATTACAATGCAATTTAAATGTATTAACATCTGCCCTCAACGACGGGGACAGGTCTCATGGTACCACCACAGCACACCAGGCAATCAAAGAACAGCTTAATTGCCTGCTTCTCAAACGTTGTGCGGGTGCAAGAATCCGGTCTAAAGTCAATGCTCTTGATCACTCTGAAAAAACAACTCGTTTCTTTTTTGCCTAAGAAAGAAAGCGTGGTTCAAAAAATAATATTACTGGGGTCGTTGACCGAAATGGGGATATCCAGACTGAACACAATAATATTATGAAAATCTATATTCCAGCGCAGAGTGCGACCTTGACAATATGGCGCAAGATGTTTTTTCTGTCAGAAATTGAATCATCACTGTCTGAAAATGAACAAACCATGCTTGACATGCCAATTTCTTTACAGGAGCTCACAGGTGCACTCCATGAAATGAAAAACGGTAAATCGCCGGGATCGGATGGTCTCACAAAAGAATTTTATGTTCAGTGCTGAGAATTTCTCGGCCCAGTCTTTGGTGAGGTATGTACAGATGTATTCAACAATAAGTCAATGTCTCCCACCCAGCGCGTGGGTGTTATCACACTGTTAAATAAGAACGTACCCGAAAATAACTCAAATAATCACTTGCGGCCTGAAAATAAACGTCCCATAACCTTGCTCAACGTGGATTATAAAATCATATCCAAAGTACTTTGTAATAGACTCAAACGGGTCTTGCCGAACCTGGTCAGCAAGTACCAAACGTGTAGGGTTAAGGGCCGGTCAATTACCGACAATTTACAAGTTATTCGTGATTTTTGCTTTCTGTACAATTCCCGTTCATCACCTGGCGCGATTATCTCTCTTGACCAACAGAAGGCATTTGATAGAGTTGACTGGGGTTTTCTACACAAAGTCTTATGCCAAATGAATTGTGGCCCGAACTTCCGGCGTTGGATTGAAATCATGTATACTAACATTTCCAGCTCCGTGTTCGTATATGAGCTGGACCACTTATTTGCATATCTGTATATGCCTCTGTGACATGGCTGTTACTGGTTATCGCTTCTTGGCCTTTTGCCAAGATAATCTTTGAGGTATGTGTGGGGGTTGAAATCGATATTCTGCACCACCGGAATGCGGCGGTGTATGGAAAGCCGTAGGGAACCCCCGATAAATATTTTTATTCAATTGAAAGGACACATAATGGCAAAAATAACGGCAGTCACCATTTGCCGAGAAAATTTCAACATCCGATAAAAATATAAAAAATAAAAGCCAAAGTTTCTTTTTCCGAGAAAGCTCCATCGCCGAGAATATTATTTTACTGATGTGATTGTGAGGAGATTTTATTTTTGTATGCCGAGATTTTACTATTCCGTATCGGCCGAGCCGAGTTTATTTTCAAACAAATTCCGAGCTGGTTTTCTTGACCGTATATAAACTTATTCATTCTGGCCAATTGCAGAGATTTTATTTTTCAGCAATGTCGAAAATATATGCTAGCTCGCTGTTGACGGCGCACGCGCAGTCACACTGATCATAAGCCGAGAAGTTTTTTTTTTAGTCGTGCCGGGAATTTTTATTTTGCGGAGATTTTTCCCCCTAACGCATGCGCAATACAGCTGCGCGGGAAACGCATGCGTCGTATTATAGCGCGCGAGATCTAGAGTAGCAGAGAAGTCCAGACCGTCTTTGATACTTGTCAACGAATTCAGTCACGAGTCGATATCACGGTATTCGTAATCCAGACGACTACTGGCTAAACAACGGTCATGTTTTTGTTGACGTTATGACCACTGCAATGGTTTATGACGATGATGTGTTGAGTTTAATACTGAAAACATTATAGCATATGCACTCAGCCTTGAGTCTCTGGCAGGCTATGCATGAAAGATTGATCTTGATATTTGAAGTATTTTTCTATTTATGTTAATGAGGTTCTCTCAATTCACTCTTGTCAGTTACATTTATATGCTGTACAATCATGTAAAATAGGTAAATAGACCTGATTTGTTTTGAGTATTACCAGTGTTTGATGTACTTAACTTTAATACCATGTATATAATTTACTGTTATATAAAATATACACAATATTTGCTCTTTTAGAAGTGTATCTCATGTGCATGTACAGCAACATTTGCTTGTATCATTTGGTGATATTTGTCATAATGTCCAACAAAGACAAGACATAATTTAAGGCCATATATTTCTGTTAAAAGACAGGAACTATCTCCAGAATTGACAGATGTAGTACATATTGAGGCCTGTCTATGTATTTGTATGGGTATGTGCATGTATGTATGTCAGTGCCATAATGTATCACTGATATCTGCTGGTCCAGTTAGAATTCAAGTTAAGAATATTACTCGATTTTCAGTGAACTTGGTTTGTATTCAGTGACATCTTTCTCTAAATTCAATAAACTTAATTTGTCTTCAAATATTTTGAATATTTGATACTATCTTCTGGTGGACCAAATTAAACATTTAATTTTCATTGTGTATGTGTTTTTTGCGATAGGGTCGTCAGTAATAGATACATCCCCACTTACTAGTTGGTAAGTATGAATGCCTTTATTTAATCTCATTTAGTAGTATTCAATATAAGAGAGCACAGTGTTGTACTGGTATAAGTGGCACCAATTATTTCTAGTAAGTTTGGCAGTCTACATGGAAGCTAATCTAACTTGAATATTTACTATCATAAGACATGGTAAGAGCACAGTACTG